GGCAGGCAGTGCAGGCAGTGCAGGCAGCGCAGGCAGGGCAGGCAGCAGAGGCAGCGCAGGCAGGGCAGGCAGCACAGGCAGGGCAGGCAGCAAAGGCAGGGCAGGCAGCAAAGGCAGCATAAGCAGCAGAGGCAGGGCAGGCAGGGCAGGCAGGGCAGGCACGCAGCAGAGGCAGCGCAGGCAGCGAAGGCAGAGCAGGCAGGGCAGGCAGTCTAGGCAGGGCAGGCAGGGCAGGCAGTGCAGGCAGGGCAGGCAGGGGCAGTGCAGGCAAGGCAGGCAGGCAGCACACCAGCTGCATGACCAACACTGGGGGCTGCAGGCAGCGCTCCCATCCCACACGTGGGAAATCGGGTCACACTCCACTTCCCTCACCCACTGCCTCCCCAAAATCCCCCTTCTCTCCCCCCTCAGTGTCCCTTTGCCAAAAAAACACCCCCATCCCACCACCCTCAGCCCTGCTTAAAACAACAAAAAAAAGGGGAAAAAAACCTCCACCCCCCCCCAGCCCACCCGAGGACAACCCCTCGCCAGAAGCTGGGTTTCATCCCCGGGGTTTTGCTGCCGAGAGCAGACAAACAAAACCCATCCATCCATCCATCCATCCATCCATCGCCGAGCACATCCCGTCGCAGGGGGGGCCGGGAGCAGCCCCCCAGGTTGGGTCTTCCCAGCCTTGGAGATGTTTGGTGCTTGGGGGAAGCCCCACCGGCAGCTCCAGCTCAGGGTTGGCAGCTCAGCCGGGTCCCCAAAGGGGTTTTATTGGCAATTAATTAAAAAAATGAGGTCAATGCAGCGTATCGGTTATTTATTCCAGGCATGCCGAGAGCAGGCAGCCTCGGAGAGAGCCCCGGGGATGGCAAACGTGGGGCTCAGCCCCCCCCCCGCCAAGACACCCCAAAACCCCAGGAGGGAAACAGGCAGCGGAGAAGCCCATGAGAGCTGGGACAGCAGGACCCCCAGACGGGGAGGGGGACGTCACCCCAGCCCCACAGGGAGCTGCCGGAGGGATCCCATGGCCCCATCCTAAAACCTCCCCATTAAACCCTCCCCCTGCCTTTAACTGCAGCAGCCAAGGGCTTCGGGAGGTTTCTCCCAAAGGAAAAAGACCAAACGAGTCCCAGCTCCCCCTCCTAGTGCTTTGAATTTTTATTAAAACAAATGAGAAAACGGTTATTTCTTCCCAGTACAAGAGTCCAGGGGATGGGAGCGTGGCTGTGCCGGGCCAGAGCCAGCCGAGCCGCAGCCACGTGCGGGGAGTCCACCCCAGGCAGAGAGGTTTTAAATAAAAAAATAAGGGTTCAGGACGTGATCTCCGAGCCCCGGGCTCATCCTCCAGCCGACTGTGGGGCAGCTGGGGGTCTGGTCGGGTTGTGGGAGAGAGAAATTGGGGGTCCCCAGGGGGTGCGGGGGATGCCCGGGGCAGCACTGGCTCCAGGACAGGGGAAATTGCAGCTGGAAGTGGTCGGGGGGGGGTTTCCCCTGTGCCCCCCCAAACGGAGGGCAGGATTTTGGGACGGAGACACGAGGGAAAGGTGGGGGCATCCCTGTTTCCCCCATGGCCACCGCCGGCCGGGGGGAGGTCAGAGCTGCGGGTGAAGGCACCCCCTTAAGGACAGGCAGCCCCAGGAAGGCTTGGAGGAGCTGGGGGGGGACACCCCACACCGTGTTGGGGGGCTACCGGACCCGGCCACCCAGCGAGACCCCCTGCCCTGAGTCCCCAGAGCCCCCCTTGGCCTCAAGCTGCCCAGGTTTGTCACAGTTTGCGGGAAAACAGAATAAAAAAGAAAAGGTTTCATTTGGTTGGCACTAGCTGTTCTTCTGCTCCTCACCCCTTGCGGAGAGGAGGAGGAGGAGGAGGAGGGGGAGACCTTCCTCCCTACCTCCTGCCCTAATCCCTGCAGCCTGAGGTCCCCCCATGCCTCCCACCTCCGCCGGGCGCCCAGAGCCAGCGCGACGGCCCCTGATTTACAGCACTCCACTAGGACATGCTCTGCCTTCCTAATGGAGCTCCGGGAGCCGCCGGAGAAGGACATCCCCAGCGAGGGACACCCTGCGGCACGGCTGCCAGGTTTGGGACGGGGGTGGTGAGTGTGGGGGGGGCACGGCCACAACCCTGACCCCAGCGCAGGGGAGAAGCCTGGAGGGCCGAGGCGAAAAAAATAGGCTAGGAAAAATCACAGAAAAAGGCTGGAAAAGAACAACAAAAAAAAAACAAAACAAAGAGGGGGAGGGAGGGAGGAAGGTGAAGGGACACTAAGCTTAGAGAATGTCACACAGTCCGTGGGCTCCCGAGTCCGTCCGTGGCATGGCAGCACCCGGGGGGGTGATGTCCCCGGCTGGGACACGCCGGTGCTGGGGGGGGATGCTCTGGTCGGGGGGCAGCAGCGGTGACGGAGCGACCGGTCACGTCCTAGAGCTCCTCGAAGAAGGCCACACGGGACTTGGTGCTCTGTAGTGTGAGCTGCAAGAGAGCAGAGGGGGCAGCTTGAAGGGGGACGGGCACCCAGCTCCCCCAGATTCATATACACACACACCCCGACCCCCCAGGGGGGGATTCATCCCCTCCTGGCCCAGCCCCTGCCCCTCCAAAAACATCAGGGAAGGCAGAAGCGGGGATGTCGTGCACGGCCCCGGCAGCCCAGGGACCTCCACCAGTCCCCGGGTGCAACAAGCACGGCCCGAGGGCAAAGCGTGGGGCAAAGGGGGGCAGGCTGGGCTGGGGGACAGAATCATGGAATGGTTTGAGTGGGAAGGGACCTTAAAGACCATCCAGTCCCATCCAGACACCTCCCACCACACCAGGGTGCTCCAAGCCCCCTCCAACCTGCCCTTGAACCCCTCCAGGGATGGGGCAGCCACAGCTTCTCGGGGCAACCTGGGCCAGGCTCTCACCACCCTCACACCAAACAAGTTCTTCCCCACAGCTCAGCTCCATCTCCCCTCTTGCAGGGTCAAACCCTGCCCCCTCCTCCCAGGGCTCCCCTCCCTCATCCAGAGTCCCTCCCCATCCATGTCCTTCTGCTGGTGGTGGCCCCAGAGCTGGAGGCAGCACTGGGGGGTGTCTCCCCAGAGCGGAGCAGAGGGGCAGAATCCCCCCCTGGCCCTGCTGGCCACGGGGCTGGGGATGCAGCCCAGGGGGTGGGGGGTTTCTGGGCTCCAGCGCACGTTGAGGGGCCTGTGGAGCTTCTCACCCACCAGCACCCCAAGTCCTTCTCCTCAGGGCCTTCTCTGGCCGGTCTCTGCCCAGCCTGGCTTTGGGCTTGGGATCGCAACTCCTCTCTGCTGCCAACACCACCTTCCCTACAAGCAAAGGCTGCCGAGGGGCCACAGATTCAATTAATGCAATTAGTGTGGCTGCAGCTTTCAGGTTGCATTTGGGGAACATCAAGGAGCCCTGACCCGTGGCACCTCATCCTGGCACAAAGCCCCTCAGGTCCAATGTGCTCCTTCCTTCCTTTCCCCTGATGATGGAGGAACAGGTGGGGCTCCTGCAAGGCTGGAGAAGAAACAACCTCCATCAACTGAGGGCAGAGGGAAAACCACGTTCATCTCTCACCCTACAGCTCCTCCAAGGGCTCTGGGCCAGCTGGGTTCGTGTCACCCTCTGTCACCCTCAGTTAGGGACCATCCTCTGTCTCATGCTCCTGTCCAACCCCAAACCACCACCTGCGGTGGGATGACCACGCGTGCCCACCTTGCCCCGTGGTGGTCCAAGCAGGCACAAGGTGGCTCGCAGCCACCATCCCAGCACATGTGTGGGGCTGTCACCTTCCCCTGCCCCGGGGACCTCACCCCGGACCCTCTCCCTCCATCCCACAGGAGGATGGAGCTGGAGAGCCCTCCATGTCCTTAGATCAGGACTTGGAAACCTGGCCCAGAAAAGCTTTCCACAGCACTAACGAGGCTACCCGAAAAATAATAGCCACACAATAGGAACCACAAGCCCAACAAGATCCTCAGCAGCGAGGAAGAAACCAGAGTATTTCCAGAGAAGCACCCGAAGGAGCGGGGTGGGAGAAGTGCCACCTTCCAGGCAGCTGCTGAATCACCGCCGGAGTTTTGCCAAAGCAGCCGGCTAATTGCGAGGGCTTCGTTTGGGCTGGATTAAGCCGCGGTGCCTTCCGCCGGGAGCGCTGGTTTTGCTGAAGCAGGGATCCCGGGATCACGTTTCAGCCAGTTAAGCCCCCGCAACGGAGCTGCCGAGCGCTCTCCCCCTCCCCGCTCCCTCCCCACGGCCTCTCCTCGGTAATTCCTTCACAGCTCTAATGCCAGTCGGGAAAAAAAAATAAATAATAGAAAAAAAAAAATCTCTGTATTGCAGAGGAAATTTCTGCAGGGGCTTAATACCCTTTGCTGGCAGCATCTCCTGGGCCAGGGCTGGCTCTCCTCCTCCTCCTTTTCCTCCTCCTCCTCAGCATCCCCTCCAGAGCTGGACAGAGAGTAGATGCGATAGAAAAGGGTGCTATGGGCAGCTGTTTTTCTCTCTTTCAAGACCAGAGAGGGCTGGGGGGAAAAAGGAGTGGGCAGCCCCAGCTTGCTCCCAGCCCCACCGATGGCTTCATTTCGGCTCTCCCAGCAGAAATCCTGCCTGTGACCCCCAGCAGACACCCCGCTGGCAGAGAATTCGGTGTAGAAAACCCAAGCGGACATCATAGAATCACAGAATGGTTAGAGTTGGAAGGGACCTTAAAGATCATCGAGTTCCAACCCCCCTGCCCTGGGCAGGGACACCTCCCACCACATCAGGTTGCTCCAAGCCCCATCCAGCCTGCCCTTGAACCCCTCCAGGGATGGGGCAGCCACAATTTTCCTGGACAACCTGTTCCAGTGTCTCACCACCCTCACAGGAAATAATTTCTTCCTCATATCTAATCTCAATCTCCCCTCTTCCAATTTAAAACCATTCCCCCTTGTCCTGTCCCTGCACTCCCCGACAAAGAGTCCCTCCCCAGCTCTCCTGGAGCTCCCTTCAGATATTGGAAGGGGCTCTAAGGTCTCCCCGGAGCCTTCTCTTCTCCAGGCTGAACAACCCCAGCTCTCTCAGCCTGTCTTCATAGGAGAGGGGCTCCAGCCCTCTGAGCATCTTGGTGGCCTTCCAAAGGGCCACACAACCACCACACACCATGGTCCTTCCCCTGGAGCAGGGAGGCTGCCACCTCCCACCGCAGTGACCGGGTGCAAGGCTGGGGACTGTGGCCCCCGGCAGAGAATCACAGAATCCTCTAGGTTGGAAGGGACCTTAAAGATCATCTTGTCCAACCGTCAACCTAACTGACAAAAATAGACACCCACACAACAAACAAGGAGCATCATCACTAAACCAGACCTCCCAGCACCACATCAACCCGTCTTTTGAACACCTCCAGGGATGGGGCCTCAACCCCCTCCCTGGGCAGCCCATTCCAATGGCTGAGAACCCTTTCAGTGAAAAAATTTTTCCTAATATCCAGCCTGAACCTCCCCTGGTGTAACTTGAGGCCATTTCCTCTCGTCCTGTCGCCTGTGACTTGAGAAAAGAGACCGACCCCCACCTCTCTACACCCTCCTTTCAGGGAGTTGGAGAGAGCAATAAGGTCTCCCCTCAGCCTCCTCTTCTCCAGGCTGAACACCCCCAGCTCCCTCAGCCTCTCCTCATAAGACTTATTCTCCAGACCCAAGAAGGGGACACCTCAGAGAAGCTGGACACCCCCAAGGAGGAACGTTTACCTGCCACCACCCAGCCACTGAATCAATCCATCCGCAGGCTGGATGGTGAATCAAAGCCCCCCACCACCTCCCCAGCCCGGAGCAGCTCGTCGTGCTGCTCTGTTACAGCACAGCGAGGGGAGATGCCCCCCAGGACCCCCCCAGCAAACTCCATGCTCTGGCAGAGAAATGAAAGGAGCCTGCAGCAACCACTGATGAGGCAGAGAGGGAAGATGTTTCCCCCAGGCTGCGGAGGGAGGTTGGACTATTTGGAGTCTGCTCTGCTTTCAGCTACAGGCAGCTCCCCATTCATCCCCCGCGCGCTTTCGCAGTCCTGGGGTACCTCAAAGCGCGGCTTCTGTGCCCAAAGCTGTGCTCTCCTTAATCAACACTGTGCTGGGGGGAAGCACGTGGAGGCAGAGCTCCGAGGGCATCCAGCACGGGCAAGAGGAGGAAGGGGAGATGCAGCCCTGCTCTTTCACCGGGGGCTTTCATCCACGACCTTCAAAAGCTCCCTGAGCACACCGACTCTCCACCACCGAGGCTCTGCTGTGCCTGGAGGGAAAGCTCATCCCCCTTTCTCCCTTTTTCTTTCTTTCTTTTATTCTTCTTTTTCTTGCTGTTGAGCAATCGCAGGCAGGGTGATCCTCGCTCCCATCCCAGGTGAAGCACGGTGGGAGAGCTCTGCCACTGGCCGGGGCTGTGGCACAGGGGCAAAGCCGAGGGACAAAACCCCAAGGGATGGGCTGGAGGCAGAGCCAAGCGACAAAACCCCAAAGGATGGGCTGGAGGCAGAGCAAGGCACAAAAATCCCGGGGGATGCACTGGAGGCAGAGGGGCAGAGCCAAGGGATGCTCCTCGGGGCAGCCTGAGAGCCCACCCAGCACCGTGGGGGTACCCAGGGGCACTGCGTACACCGGTGGGTGCGGGGAGCCCCACAGCCGAGCTCCCTTGTCTCCCTTCAGCCCCAAAAGCACAAGCTCCAAACAGCTCTTTGCAGGGAAATCCCACTCCCTCACGCTGGGAGGAACTGGTTTTGCTCTTTTCTTTTCCACACCGGTCCATGAAAGCACAGCCCTGCTCTGGCTTCTTCACCATCTGTGGAGAGCAAGAAAGCCCCAAGGTGCCTCCAGCATCTCCCCAACCCTCTGCATCCCCTTCGCCCGGCCAGGCAAGGAGAAATAAATATATATATATATACCCATACCGTAACACTGTGCAGGGGAGGCAGAGTGATTAAGAGCGAGTTACATTCTCGTCAGTGCGGAGAGAGGAAAAAAAAAAAATTGATTTACAAGCAGTATTATGATAATCTCCTTCCTGCAGGAGGGAGGGTGGGCTCCACAATGCACTACCAGAGTCATCAAAGAAAATTTAGAGAGAGAGAGAGAGAGAGGGAGGGAGGGAGGGAGCGCAATTAAGCGGCCAGAGCTCAAATGAATCAAGATAGGAGAAGAGGAAGAGTCCCGCTCCCTGCATTCCTGCGCCGGGGATCCTCTGGGCTCTGCTTTTACCCAGGGCGGCTGGACTGATCTGATTTCAGACAAACCAACAAACAAAAGCAACCCAATAAGTCCCTCATAGTGGAATGTGGTTCAAAGCAGCTAACCCAGTAACTGTGGGCACAGGGCTTGTGCTGGCCGGGCACACCGAAGGGAGAGGAGCCAGCTGGGCTCCCAGTGAGCCCACCAGAGCCCTCCCCACGCACCCGAGATGGGCACGGGCAGGAGAAGGGAGCTGCAAATCCCATTAACCTTCCCCCATCCTCCCAGGTCC